CATTTCCTCAACAGTTCTAAACTATCAACAAGTTCATTCTTTTCTGGATTTTCTTTTGATTTCTTATTAAACGAACTTAAATTGACTAAATATACACATAATGTAATGTTGTGGAAGTAACCTTTCCATTTCTTTCGGCAATTTCCACCAAAATCTAATACAGAAATACAGTTAGGATATTGTTTGAGGAATTTCTCATCCATAGCTAGTTGTTGGAGTTTTGGAAATCCTTCTGTTTCACTATAGTACACTTTTCTTGTATCGACTCCTTTAGTTTCCATTCGAATACGAAGAGAATCTTCAAAATTTGGAATATTCGAAGCCTTACACAATCGATCCAACGTTGAAGAATTGAAGAAATATTCACACGAATCACTCACATTCAATTCATCCCTATACTTGTCAAAAGTTTCTTTGAAAACTAAACAATTCGTCCATAAATCAATGATCATTTCTGCCGTTTTTGGAACAAGCAAAGCTGGTGAAGATTTTGATGGAAATGAATTCAAAGTTTTCGAATTGGTTGGTGACTGTTCCAAGTCTTTCTTGGGAGCTGATTCAATCAGTGTTTTGCAATACGAAAGGTATTGCTGATGTAAACGAGACGAAATGGATTGAGTATTGACACACTTTTCGCAAACCTTTCGAATATTGTTTAAAATATCGTTATGAATGTATTGCATTGCAATTTGTTTTGCATTTCCAAGTATTCTATTCATGAGCGTTGTCTTTCCACAATCATCTGAACTTTCGTTTATTGTATACGAATGTACAAGAACTTACTTGATCCCAACAAGAGAATTTTAGGGTTCTCACTATCTAACACTGGATCTTCATCATCAAATTCAACGCCTGATAGAGCCAATGTATTCTTGAGCATTTGGAAGAAATTGTTCTTTTTTTTTTAACAGACTAAACCCTGTCAACAGTCAGTTTCGTTACTTGAAATGAACGAGTTCAGTAAAGTTCTGCATTATCTATCCGATAAGATCTCATATTTTCAATTCAGAACTTTCATGCTTTCATATTGTTGAAATTCTTCTCCAAGATGTTGGTTCCTGCTAATGTTATTGATGAATTGAAATTTGGGTCCCACCAAAAACAAATAAGGCAGAAGGGACGTCCCATGATTAATCTACACGAATCCCAAACTCTGTTTTCTTACCCAACCCGTTGAATTTCTTAATTGCACATAAGGTGTGCACACAAACAAATAACAAAAAACGAAAACAACAAAATGAATATATACGCCCACACCTTTCCATTCCATCACGATAGTGTTGAGTATTTTATAGCTGAGGAAGCCAATGCAAGAGGTATTAGTTATCACCTTGATTATGTTCTTGAGCATTTGGAAGAAAATGATCCGATGAGACAATTTATTGTTTGGGCTGTACAAATCAAGGGATGCAGGAGTTTGTTATTTCTTGATGAAACTCCATTGAGGGAAGTGAAGGTAAAGATGGATTCTTTTGGATATCGATCCACTCAACAAGAATTGAAGCAAGATCGG